CTGACTCACAGAGATCATCCTGCCCTAGCATCCTGAGTGCTGGCTGGGATTAAAGGCGTGCTCCACCACAACTCATGCAAAAAGGCATTTTTCTTGACTCTTAAAACTTTGTCTCCAAAAGTTAGGAGTGGAGACACAAATCTGTAATTCCAGCCCTGGGGAAGCTGAGGCAGGAGAACTGCCCCATTCAAGATGAACCCAGGCTACATAGCCAGACCTTGTGTCAATCCCACTCCAAACACACACACATGTGCATACGCACACCACGACTACTTCCACCATCACCAGCTTGGTCTTCTTTGTAGTTCTTCTTTAAAAAAAAAAGTACCCCAGAAAAGCCAGGGAATTAATCAAACACAGAACCCGAAGGGGGTAACCTTCACAGAGGACAGTGTTAAAGGGCAATGGTGACTGCTGTGCAGCAAGACTGGAGTGGCATCCAAGCTGAGGTGAGCAGGCTGGGAGCCCCTGGGATGAAACACAAGGGTGTCAGGAGAAGAGGAAAATGGGTGGGGAAAGCGTGACACTAGGTTGATTTTTTTTTTCTTGGTTTTTCGAGACAGGGTTTCTCTGTGGCTTTGGAGGCTGTCCTGGAACTAGCTCTTGTAGACCAGGCTGGTCTCGAACTCACAGAGATCCGCCTCCCAAGTGCTGGGATTAAAGGCGTGCGCCACCAACACCCTGTGACACTAGGTTGATTTAAACAGTGCAATAAAAGCAATCTGCAATGTAGAAGAAAACAAAATCACAGGAAAATGTGATCATTGAGCAGACTGATCACTTTCCCCACACAAAAACAAAACAAACAACAGAAAACCAACACTCACAGGAACCCAACAAGAAAAACATTCTCCGGTGAAATCTGAGAAGCCACCTGCAGAGGAAGGGCGGGTGACTCTCTTGTGATTACAGAACAGCCTTGGGGTGTTGTGGTGGGGCCTGTGGCACATTCAGGTCTGAGAGAATTTGTACCCCTAGGTGTTAAAAGTGCTCTCAGCTGGTGGTCCCTCTGGGAGCTGCAGAAAGATTGGCGGTGTTAAACTCAGCTGCTTCCTCTGCTCCTTTCCTTCCTGTGCAAGCACCGCCCAACAAACCCGCTGTCTGCTCTGTTACGGTTTGCTTCTGGCAGCACCTGCCTCTTGGGCTTGAGTTTCAAGTGGACTCCTCGGCACAGACATAGGTGGGATCTTGGAGCTAGACTACTAGCCACCTGGACACTAACTGAATTGTCCTTGGTGCATGATAACAGTGCAATGTTAAATGCTTTTACAGCAGTAGCTTAAGTGGTACTTTGGGGAGGAAATGTGTTAGCTGGGATGTCTCGGATGTTAGGGGTGAAAAAAATTGTGACCACGAAGCTGTTGCCAAGCTTGATTAGCACTTTGAGAAAAGATAACAAAAGCTAAGTGATTCATCAGCAATTGCAGATAAATATGAAAGGCCAAGGGCCCTGCACAGCAGAGATTGTTACAAACAGAAGGATTAGGTAAATAAGGAACTGCATAGATGATAATAGAAACCAGACTTCTCACTGTTAAGGAATTTATAAATATAAAAAGAGGATGTATCAGAGCTCTCTAGAGACCCAGAGTCAAGACATTTGCATAGGTATGAATGAGATTTACTATATGCCTTGCTTCATGCAGTCAGGGAAGCCAAGAAACCCCTCAACATGTGGTCTGGACAATGAATTTAGTCTGTGTCTGCAAGCCCATGCATGAAGCAGGGAAGCTGATGGTGTGTTTCCTAGTCCAAGGTCAAAAGGCATGAGAGAGAAACCACTGATAAGGAGGTCAGGACAGTGTAGGTCTGTGCCCTAGAACCAGGAGTCCAATGTCTGATGGCAGAAATAGATGTCCCTGCTCAAGGAAAGAGAGAGGAAGTTCTCTTGTCTCTGCCCTTTTGTTCTATTTGATCAGGCTCTGATGAATTAAGTGGTGCCCACCCATGTTCCTGAGGGCAGGCCTTCTTTACTAGTCTGGAAACTACGCTAGACTCACCTACAAATGTTTCTGCCAGCATTCTGGGCATCTCTTATCCAAGTTGTCATGTAAATAGATGACACAAAATTCATCATCTTGGAATAGAGAAAACCCACCTGCAGTGCTGGATTGGAACCAGAGACATTGCTATAAACTTGAGATTTATTTCTTAAAAACAATTTGTTGTGTGTACGTATGTATATCACACGTGTGCAGGAACCCAAAGAGGGTGTTGAATCTTCTAGAACTGGAGCTATAGGCAGCTGTGAGCCACTAGACGGAGTGTGCAGAATTGAACCCAGGCCCTCAGTAAGAGCAGTAAGTGCTCTTAATTGCTGAGCCATCTTTCCAGCTCCAAGTTTTACTTCTTCTCTGTAGTCTATATTAATATAGAGCACAATGGATTTCATCAATCACATTCACATCCTCCCCCAATCCTCCTGATTCCAATGCAGATTTATGTTAAATTAACCTAGCAATATAAAATATAAACACATGTATTTATATATGTAAGGGTGCTTATGCATAATTTCCTAGCTCTTTTTCTTTGGAGACTCTAGAAGCAATTACATTTCAGTAGCAATGAGTGTTAGGGTCCTTGAGAAGTGCCCACCAGACTACCAGTCACAATGCAATCAGCAAGAGTGTTTATTATGCATCATGCACCTAGGGTTGCACGCCTGTACAAAATGACGGCAACCACGTAAGCTCCTTTTAAGCACAGCTCAGGAATTTTAAAAGCTGTGTGACCATTCTATTTAGAATTGGCTTATGCAAGTGGCAATCGTATTAGGACATTTCTAATTGATTAGGGCTAGCAGGGGTGGGCTAAGGCTATAGCTTTTCCATTCTTGGGCAAGTCGGGACAAGTCCCAGGCTTTGTCCTTATTTGGTTATCACCTGTGGGGGTTGGGGGAGTTGGCCTAGTAAGTGCAGGAACTGAGGCCTAGTTCTTACCTGAGTTATTAGGGGCCTGTCAGGATTTGCCTGGTACTCTCAATGAGTGCACTAGCTTTAGGATCGCCCTTGGGAGGTAGTTAAGAGTCAGGAGCATCAGGAGCTCAACATGATCTTCAGTTTGACGCTTGCCTGAGCTGCTGGAAACCCTTTGTTGAGAGGGAAGGAGAGGGGGAGGGAGATAGAACATGGCCTCAGAATCCCTAAGGTGGCATAAAAACTGGTACTTGGGCCGGGTGTTGATGGCACACGCTTTTAATCCCAGCATTCGGGAGGCAGAGGCAGGTGGATCTCTGTGAGTTCCAGGTCAGCCTGCAAACAATACAGAGAAACCCTGTCTCGAAAAACCAAAAACAAAAAATTGGTACTTGGTAGTGTGAACCTATAATCCCAGTGCAGTCTGAGGTGGAGACAGGAAAATTCTTTTTGCTTTTTAGGGGCCCACCATCCAGCTCCCAAATAAATCACACACACACACACACACACACACACAGCTCGCGTGGGAGGGGTGAGGGGAGAGACTTTTTTTTCGGTTTTTCGAGACAGGGTTTCTCTGTATTGTTTCAGAGGCTGTCCTGGAACTCGTTCAGTAGATCAGGCTGGCCTGAAACTCACAGAGATCCTCCTGCCTCTGCCTCCCAAGTGCTGGGATTAAAGGCGTGCTCCACCAACACCTTTGTTTGATTTTTAAGACATGGTTTCTCTGTGTAACCACCCTTGCTGTCCTGAAACTAGTTCTGCAGACCAGGCTGACCTTGAACTCACAGAGATCTGCCTGTCTCTGTCTCCCAAGTGATGGAATAAAAGTTGAGCACACCACTACCCAGTCTGCACTGAGACTTCTTTCTTACAATTGTCCAGCCTTAGCTTGGCTTGTCTTTAGCCAGCTTTTCTTAAGTTACTCTGTCTGCCTTTTGCCTCTGGGCTCTTCCTTTTCTTCTGTAATCCTACTCCCACTCTATGGCTGGCTATGTAGGTTGGTGGCTGGCCCCTTCTTCTCTAGCTCCTTGATCTCTCCATCCCCTATCCCTCTTTTTCTCCTATTTATTCTCTCTGCCTGCCAACCCCTCCTATCCTTTCTCATGCCTCACTATTGACCATTCAGCTCTTTATTAACCAGATCAGGTGTTTTAGTCAGGCAAAGTAGCACAGCTTCTCAGAGTTAAATAAATGCAACATAAGAGAATGCAACACATCTTTGCATCATTAGACAAATGTTCCACAGCCTAAACAAATGTAGCACATCTTAAAATAATATTCTACAACAAGGACTTGCTGGCTAGTTAAGTCAGAACGATGACAAGCTAGAGATACCTATAGTAAACTCTATGGAGAGTGGGGCTGGAGAGATGGCAGAGGTTAAGAGCACTTTTGCTCTTGCAAACAACTAGGGTTCCATTGACACTATCCACAGGGCATCTAACAACCTCCTTAACTCCAGGGGAGGTCTGGATGCATTTGGTACATTTATTTACATGTATGTAAATAAAGCACTTACACACATAAAACATATCTAAAAATATGTGGAGAGCGTTAGAGGAAGACCCCTGAAGCCAACCTTTGGTCTGTACTTGCAGATGCACACTTATGCATGTGTACCTATGCACAGTGCATGTACACACAATTACATGGATACATATATATGTATATATATATATTCTTTGAAACCACGTTGAATATAATTATACGGTATTTGTAGTGGAGAAACAGTTGTGAACATGTCGCTGTGATGCAGATATTTAGAAGGTTGGTTAACAATTTACTTTGAGACAGACAAGGAACTCAGTTGTTGTTGTCTTTCCCAAGGCCAGAGGAACCAAAGAAACTCTAGGCAAATGCCTGGCTAAGTGTGTGTGTGTGGGGGGAGCGCGGAATCAGGGAGCCAAGGCTTCTTGCTTGCCAGTGGAGTAAATAAGTGGTGATAGCAACAGCAACGTCAAGGCAGCTTAAGGAGAGCCGCTGACAGGCAAATATACACAGCCAGCCCCGCCGCCGCCGACCTCCCGCCACAGGGGTCGCTGTGAGCTCGAGCGCAAGCCGGGGAGCTGCGTTGCACCAGGGGCCGGCGCTCGAGCCCAGCAGGGGGTTTCAGTTTCTGGCGCGAACTTCCGCCGCTCCGAAGTTGCAAGGCGAATTGGCGCTATGTCGGGGGATAGTAGCGGCCGCCGGCCCGAGGGCCGGGGCCGGGGCCGCGACCCGCACCGGGATCGCACCCGCTCCCGTTCACGCTCGCGGTCCCCGTTGGCCCGCCGCGGCGCCGCGCCAGAGCGCAGGGAGGCAGCGGAGCGCCCGAGCTTGGAGGACACCGAGCCTTCTGATTCCGGGGATGAGCTGATGGACCCGGCCTGCTTGGAGGCCGAGTACGACCAGGGCCTGTGCCGCCAGATCCGTCATCAGTACCGTGCTCTCATCAACTCCGTCCAACGTAAGGTGGCGCTTTGGGGTTGCGCGGGCTGGCGGCGTTTCGTGTCTAGGGAGGACGGCGGGAGGTGCGGGTGCAGGCCGGTCTGCGAGGGCTCGTGGCAGCGCGCCTTTATTTGTTTACTCAGTGCACCCTTCGCGACCTTGGCGGCGGGCACGCAAGTGCTCTGCTGCTGTCTGGAAAAGCGGAAGGTCGGATCTGGGGGTGACCTGCTTGAGCTCAGCCAGCCTATACGGAAGATCAGCAAAATAAGCACCAGGTGCTTTTGTTGAATCCAGCATGGGCGCCGGAGCTGCAGAGTCCCTCGGGATTGTTAAAATACACGTTCCCTCCCCATTTCGGATGCACTGTTTTAGAAATGTTGGGTAGGCCAATGCGTTTGATGCGTGACTCTCCATGTGACCCTGTTGCTTGCTAAGTTTGACAACCGCTTCTTAATCCAACCCTTGTATGGGAGCGCATTAGAGTCGGCCCGTTTGATTAAGGTCACAAGGAGTTAAGTCTTTCCTGTTAAAAGTTCAAGTTGCAGGGACTGGGGGTATGGCAAGTGCTTCTCTTGCAAAAGTGATGATTCCCAGAACCCGCCTAAAAATACCGAGCTAGTGGCGCAAACTTGTATCTTCGGCTCCGGCTAAGCAGCGTCTCTGGGTTCCACTGGTCAGCCTGCCTAGTTTACTTGACCAGTTCCAGGTTAGTGAGACCCTTTCTGAAAAGGTAAAGATGATGGTGAGCTGGGGGAAAGACACTTAAGGCTTGTCCCCCTTGAAACAGTAGCATTGCCTCTTTCTGTACAACTTGGCTAAAAAGATAAGACATTTTAAATAATTACCCAGGGCAGGGCGTTGGTATTGCACGCCTTTAATCTCAGCACTTAGGAGGCAGAGGCAGGAGGATCTCTGAGTTCGAGGCCAGCCTGGTCTACAGAGTGAGTTCCAGGACAGCCTCCAAAACAGTACAAAGAAACCCTGTCTCGAAAGAAAAAAAAATTACCCAGGAAGTAGGAGTGGGACTTGGCTTCGTTGCTGTGACAAGTGTCAGTTGCGTGAAGGATGAGCACAATTCCCTAAGTTTTTTATTCTTTCAAATAGAAAACCGGGAGGACATACTGAATGCCGGTGACAAATTAACAGAGGTCCTTGAAGAGGCCAACACTCTGTTTAATGAAGGTAAATGAGTTTTTAAATATGTTGTCATTGAATTACTTTTATAGAAGCAAACTATTGCCATTCCAGAATTCCCCTTTACTAGTACACTCAACAGGCCCAGAACCTTTCCATTTTAGCAACAAAATTACTTTCACTGTGCTCTTGCGGTTGGGCTCAACATTTACTTAAGGGTTCTTCATGAATTTCTGGGAGTGGGGGAGGAGACATACAGTATTTTAAGAAGCGTTTTTCATGATATGGGCCCCCAACTCAGGAGGCAGAGGCAGGTGGATCTCTGAGTTCAAGGCCAGCCTAGTCTGTAGTGCCAGTTCCAGGACAGCCAGGGCTACACAGAGAAACCCTGTCCCTAAAAAACAAAAACAAAAAAAGAAGCCTCTTGCCATGATTCTTTTGCTGGTCCAAATTTACATGTGTGTTCCATTAGATGAGTTGGGGAAGAATGCAGCTAGCCTCAGACATCCTGTTTATTTTCCTGTCCTTTTCATCTTTGCTCTCTGAGCTGTTCATCCACCTATAACCTAGTGGAGGTGGCCAATGTCCACAAGTATACTCATGTATGCGGTGTGGGGCAGTGGGGGAGAAGCGGGCACTTTACGGTGTTGCAGTTTTGGCTTCTGTTTTAAATTACATGTATATGTGGTTTTGTGCACATGAATGCAGTTATCTGTGGTGGCCAGAGAGGGCATCAGATTCCCCCTGGAGCTGGAGTTTCAAGGGGTTTTGGGATTGTGAGTTGCCAGACACCAGTGCTGGGAACCAAGCTCTGGGCTGTGGAAGAGCAGTACGATGTGTTAGCCGCTGAGTCTCCTCTCTAGTCCCGAGATCATGGGTTTTAAACCACGATCTTGGTTTGAATTAAAAGTAGCAGCAGTGGTTGTTATAGCAACCGCTTTGGCCATTGTCCAATGATGGGGGTGGTGATGCTCCCTGATGTGAGCACCAGGACAGCCGCACAGACGATGTCCTCTGCTTCGAAGGCCTCTCTCACTGCTTTGTGAACAGAAAGGGGCCTGCTAACCACAACTCTTCATGTTCTTGAGGACTGTTTACTTCTAGCTGGCTAGTTTGCCTGTTTCAGTGTTGTCTCAGTGTTTGGTGCCTCCTTTGTTGCTCTGGCCGTGGCCTCCTTACAGTTCCCTCTTTGGTCTACCATATACACTAAATCACCTCCACAAGTTGTACTGGGTTCCTCCTCTACCTGGAACAGATCTCTTCTCCGCTGTCAAGCTTTTTCTCCATTCTTAGTCTTGACCCACAGTCTCATTGTAATTGCTTATTTGCTCCCCTGCTGTCTATATCTTACTGATTTCATCCACATGTTACCTCTCTCTGCTACTGTCCACGTGTAAAGCAGAAGACAAGTTATTCACTCAACTGGGCCTCAAGGGTTTCTTTGCTTGGCATCCATGGATGGTGTTATACCTGTTTTAATTCTTTAGAGAACTTGCTGTCACGTAGACAGGATATTTGCACTTCTCTTGCGGTGGCCCATGGGGTTGTTGGGCAAGGGGGGTATAGACCAGAGCCCAGCAATCAGCATCTGCTTTCCCTTTCTCTCACTGTCGTGTTTCACTGTGTAGCCTTGGCTGTCCTGGAACTCTGCTCTGTAGAATTAGGCTGGGCTCGAACTCACAGAGATCCACCTACCTCTGTCTCCCGAGCGCTGAGACTAAAGGTGTGCGCTACGACCTTTTTTTTTTTTTTTTTTGATTTTGGAAACGGGTTTCTCTGTGGCTTTGGAGGCTGTCCTGGGACTAGCTCTTGTAGACCAGGCTGGTCTTGAACTCACAGAGATTCACCTGCCTCTGCCTCCCGAGTGCTGGGATTAAAGGCATGCGCCACCAACTCCTGGCTGTAGTGACTCTTAACATTAGAATCTTTCCTCCTGTGAAGAAAGGTGATGGATCAGAACAGAAGCCAGTGTCAGCAAGTTCCCTGGCTGTATTTGTGAGAATTACTCAGGATCTCGATGCCTCAAGGAGGACATGCTGGGCAGAGACATTTCTCTTTGAATCTGTCAGGCTTGGTTTGTCTTGGCTTATATTAGAGTTTTCCCAGACTAGTATTTCAAATTCTCTGGGAGTTGTAGGATAGGGGCTGTTAAACCCAGCATCCTTAACTTTTCTGTGTTCTCCAGTTGAATGATTTTTTTTTAACCTCTGTAGATTTTGTATTATTTCTCCCTACCTGTAGGGAACATTCCATTTGAGTTACATCAGTTCAGGTGAGGATGGTGATTAGAATATGTTTGTCGCCAGGGGGTGGTGATAATTGCTGTTAATCCCAGCAAAGGCAGGTGGATCTCTTGAGTCTGAGGCCAGCCTGGTCTACAGTGCCAGTTCCAGGATAGCCTCGAAAGCCACAGAGAAACCCTGTCTCAAAAAACAAAAACAAAAACAAAAAAATGTGTTAGTCATAGAGATAGGTGTTATACAGAAGTTTTTGTTATGCTGGAGTTACTAAGAGATTGTGATTCAGTGGGGGCTGGAGAGATGGCTCAGCAGTTAAAAGCACTGGCTGCTCTTGAAGAAGACCTGGGTTTGATTCCCAGCATCCATGTGTTGGCTCCTAACTGTCCAAAACTCCAGTTCCAGGGGATATGTTGACCACTTCTGATCTCCATGGCCTTGGGTTCACACATGCTTCGAGTACATAACAGGCAAAACATTCATACACATAAATAAATCTAAAAGAAGTCTGGTTCAGTGACTAGGAATATGAGTAAGCTTTAAGGAAGACTGATCAGCTATGGTTGAGATTTTAGAGAGCGGAGAGGGAACCAGTTTTTAGATGTCCACAGATCCATTTACAGCCTATTGAGGCTTATTTTGCCCTAGTGAAAAGATACTAATAGGTACTTGGAAATATGGGGAAATATCCATGGTTTTTGTGTTTCTTAACATGTATTTCTTGCTCTACAGTATCAAGAGCAAGAGAAGCAGTTCTAGATGCCCAGTTTCTTGTTCTGGCTTCAGACTTGGGCAAAGAGAAAGCCAAGCAGCTGCGATCTGACCTAAGCTCATTTGATATGTTAAGATACGTTGAAACTCTAGTAAGTTCAAAGTTACCGAATTTTAATTAAATGCTTCTTAAAAATGTCTTATTATGCAATTATCTACTTGTTTATATCAGTTTCCAGATGGGTTTTTACTTTGTTTCCCTTTATTCTTTTTTTTTTTATTTCAGAGTCTTCCAAGGAGATTTTAGGAAATTAACAGATTAAGGGCATTGAGCAGGTTCCAAAACAGTACAGAGAAACCCTGTCTCTCGAAAAACAAAACAAAACAAAACAAACAAAAAAAACCAAAGCATTGAGCATCTTGAAACCTCTTAGCTATCTCTTCTAAGACTCTGGCTGTTCTGGTTGTTTATGAATGACCATTTCCTCAGTTACTTCATGAGGGTACTAGGTCATTTGAGGTCATCTGTTCTAGGCTGGACCAGAGCTCACACTATAGAGTTGGGGGTGGGGAGGCTCAGGGTAGATGTAGGCTGGAGATGAGTTAAGCCTTGCTGTGTGGATATAATCTGTCTTGGAAAAGATTTTAGAATCATATAAATATGATGGTGGTTTTGTATTTAATTTAGTTTGTAATTCACCCACCTTTGCCTCTTAATATGCTTGGATAGTTGGTAACTGCAATTGTAAAACTTTTCTGATGAATGTGTCCAAAGAAAGAAAAGGGTTAGAGTCACGGTTTTGTTTTTTTCATGCAGGATCTCTAAGTAGTCCTGGCTGTCCTGGAACTCATCATGTAGACCAGACATACCTGGAACTCACAGAGATCTCCCTTCTGAATGGTGGGATTAAAGGCGTGTGCTAGCACACCCAGTTAAACACTGAATTTTGGCCAGGGCTTTTATGCTTCAACGGTTATTAGAATGACTTAAACTGTGTGTACTAGGATACACCTGTAATCCCAGCTACTTGGGAACCTGAGGCAGGAATATTGCAAGCCTGAGTTATAATAGAGAGGCCCTTTCTTAAAATTGCAGAAAAATGGGCATGGAGGTGTAGTTCAATAGTGGAGCACTTGCCTAGCATGTATAAGGCCCTCGGTTTAATACCCAATAACCCAGTAAGTCCTTTTTTTTTTTTTTAAGATTTATTTATTATGTATACATTGTTCTGCCTGCATGTATGATTGCATGACAGAAGAGGGCACCAGATCTCATTACAGATGGTTGTAAGCCACCATGTGGTTCCTGGGAATTGAACACAGGACCTCTGGAAGAGCAGTCAATGCTCTAAACTGCAGAGCCAGCTCTCCAGCCTTCCAATAAGTCTTAATGTTTTCTTAAAATAAATATTGTGAAGCACAGTGTATTTTGGAAATGTTGATCAAAGTATGCACATGATAAGTATTTTTAAAATTAAAATTAGGTTATGCTTTAATCTTTAAATAACATCACAATAAGTTAAAGCCATATGGTTGGGGAAGCCTTTCCAAGTATAACATGGCAAATAAGACACTAAGGAAAAGGATGGGTGTGATGGCCCATGCCTTTAATCCCAGCACTCCTTTAGCAGAGGCAGGCTGGTTTCTGAGTTCTACCAGCCTCACATCTGGTTCCAGTCCAGCCAGGGCTACATAGTAAGGCCCTATGGACTGGATGGCAATAGAATGGAGGAGAACAGTTCCCCCTTCTGATCAGGGCCTTGCTGCTTTTGTTTCCTTCAAAGTCTGGTTACTTTGAGGGCATTCTAATTGTTTATATATACTATTACTTTTACTTAAGAACTTTTAGTCATATTACAGTCTGTTATAATAAACATGTTCTTTCCTAAGAAACAAGTGTGATATAATGCCCACTTATACCTGGCTGTAATAATACACTTCTGTAAAATAGAGACAAGAGAATTGTTTGACTCGTTACCAAGTCTCCTCAGGAAGAGAGACTGTTAGAAGTCTCTTCTTATGTGTTACTGGTCTCTGGATATACTAAGAGCCTTTCTAGGAAGTTAGCCAGTCACTGGGATCCGAGAGCCAGCTAAACTTCTGGTTCCATACTGGAGTGCTTCCTTTGGTGTCTTCAGTTTACCTGCTGGTAGAGTTTTGCTCTTGATGGAGCTGCTTCTGCTCCAGTAGGCCCTGTGAGCTTAATGCCTGCCAATTCTCAAACCTTTTAGGCTGGGGTGGAAAGGAACAGAGTTTCTCCACCTCAGCACAAGTGAAATTTGGGCTGGGCACATCTCTATATTGAATATTCTCTGCACTGTAGGACAGTTTTCCTAGTGTCTACCTACAATCTGCCAGAGCATGTCAGTTGTTGATTGTCAAAAATGTTCTGTATTGCCAAAAGACCCCTTAGGGGCAAATCATCCTCATTGGGAACTGCTAAGCTAAATCATCTGTCTCCACCAAATTTCCAAGTATATTGAAGAATATTTTCTCACAACAAAAGGTACTTCTGAATAGGAGTTTATATGTAAAATTATCTTTGCAATAAGAAGTTTAGCTAGTATGAAGAGGCTCTCCCTCTGGCCTCTTAAATATTGAATTTGGTGAATGGTTGCCTGCACTTTAACTGATTTTTTTTCCTTCATTTTTTCTGTAGCTGACACATATGGGTGTCAATCCCCTAGAAGCTGAAGAATTCATCCGTGATGAAGACAGAACTGATATTGAATTAATTGTCTATGACTCCTGGAAAATATCAGGCAAAACAGCAGAAAACACCTTTAATAAAACCCATACATTCCACTTTCTGTAAGTGGATATTTTCAAAATCCAACAGACCAGCCATTTGTAAACCATAAATTGTTTTTTATTGTAGGGACAAAGATTGTTAAGTAGTAAAGATAGTCAGCCATTGTTCAGAGACTGCCCAAACTAGAACAGATGACAGTAAATGTACACATAACAGGAGTCTACGGGTCTCTGTCCTCCATAGCAGGGAGGCTGTGGGGCAGGACCCTCCCAAGGGGCTCTCTCTGCTTGTTTGCTTCCTAGCTCAGGATTGGAGTCTGTAGTGTGTTTCCCATTCTGTTTATTACCCCTGAACTTTATCATGCATGAGAGCATCTTAAGAAATGAAGTTGGCTAATCTAGTCCCAGATCTATAACAAAACCAGGGATGGCTCTTGCTGCTTCTTTTGAGACAGCCTTCAAGTGTCCAGCCCTTCTTCCCCAGTAGGTGCTTTCCCTGGGGCAGCTGTCCAGTGTGTTTTAGTCCTTTCTTCCTATAGCTCCAGGCTATTGGTCTTGATTCCTTTTATGCCTGAGATTGGTAGAGTCAGTGTTAGAATGCTTTGAGGTTTGGGTTGTAGCAGAGCTGTGTCCTGCCCCCGGCATCTATATCATGCCTTCTGGCAGCTCAAATGCACAAACTATAGTCTAAACTATAAAGACCACACTTTTCTTAATTGTGTGATAAAATCCAAATCTGGTTTTTTGTTTTTAGTTTTTTTGTTGTTGTTGTTTTGGTTTTTTTTTTTTTTTTTTTTTTTTGAGAATAGAGCCTTAAAAGAAAAGAACCTTATCATCATGATAGTCCTTAGCTGTGACCTGCTCATTGTTCTGATCTTAAAAGTTGCCTTCGTGTGATAGGTAAGAAGCTAGTTGGGAAGAGTCCACTTCAGTGGCTTATTGCAGTCCAGAGCACCAGGAAAATGTGTGAGAGGGTATCTGATTGACAAAGCTCAAGGAGTTCTTGTAGAAATACAAATGGAGTAGAAAAGATGTCACAACCTGACTCTCATCACTGATGCCTGGTCTGAATTTGACTATACTACACCAACTGCTTTTAGTTAGTGAAATGGGTTTCTTTATAAAGGAAACAATAAAGACATAAAAGCATATTTTTCATTAGGTTGGGTTCAATATATGGAGAATTCCCTGTGCCAAAGCCACGAACTGATCGCCCAAGACAACCTCGTATGATAGAAGAGCAGAGGGCAATGCCTGCTCAGGTTTGTTTTTCAAATACTGCTTTTTAGCTTAACCTATACTTAATATACATGCACTTGGGTGTGGTGGTGCAGAGCTTTAAGGCAGGTGGGGTTCTGGGAGGCCAACTTGACTTACATAGCAAGTTCTAGGTCAGCCCAGGCAGAGTTATATAGTACCCTGATTCCATTTATAAAAAAAAACAAAAACAAAAAAAACCTCTAAATGTTAGGGTCTAGAATCAGGTTCTGTTCATTTGAATATTCTATTTAAATGTCTCAACATTTTGCTGGATTGGCCATGTTAACTCATTTTCTGTGGTTTTAATCAGTTCTCTTAAATTAAGAGTTTCTCACCCTTACTACCCTTAGCATTTAGAGCAAGTTAATTTTTATCGTGGGGGAATTGTCCTGGACACTGTAAGTTGTTTAGAATTCTTGCCTCCTTCTGCCTAGCTGCTAGTAACGCTACCCCTACCCCAGCCATAACCAAAAATGTCTCCAATATTGGCAAATGATCCCTGTGGGGACCCTTGGGCAAGATCAAGTCCAGTCCTAAACTATATGTTGTGACTTTATTTTTTATTTTATTTTATTTTTTTTGAGGCAGGGTTTGTCTGTAGCTTTGGAGCCTGTCCTCTCTGTAGACCAGGCTGGCCTGAACTCAGAGATCCACCACCTGCCTCTGTCTCTCAAGTGCTGGGTTACAGGTGTATACCAGCATTGGCTGGCATGTGACTTTATGTTTAATCTAAAGACAGTGGAGCTAGCAGTTTGGTAACATTATTCTTCTACTAATAAGAATATTACTGAAGTGGGGAAACTTTGTTTAAACTAAATTTTAAGACATGTAAACTTAAAAGCTAGCAAACTCAAGCGGAACTTTGAAGTTTGGATGTGCGACAGAAAAGGAAAAGTTAGTGACTGACATGTGAAGGTGAATCATTGCTGATGGCTTTTTTTCCCAGTTGAAATGCATGGAAGAATCTCATCAAGAAGCCACTGAAAAAGAAGTAGAAAGGATCTTGGGATTGCTGCAGACATACTTTAGAGAAGACCGTAAGTGTGGCACCAAAGGTGCAGCCATTTGTGTTTATTGGGTGTGCCACTTTCTGTTAGGTTATTTTATTTAAAAGGCATTTCAATTGCATATATATATATATATATATATATATATATATATATATATATATATCTGAGTTATTGTGATTTTTTTTTTCCCTTTCCCCCTTTTCTTTTAAAGTAGTCTGTTGCCCAGACTGGCCTGGAGCTCAGTATAGTCTAGGCTGACCTCCCTGCCTTAGCCTCCCAAGTAGACAGACATAAGGATACAATGCCTGTCTCATTTTCATTTTTTTGTCATATATATTTAATGAGCCCCCCACCCCAATACCTCATGAGGATAAGGTAACTTTTTTTAAATCACTCTTTTAAAAAATATGTTTTATTTTATGTATATGGGTATTTTGCCTGGTACCTATGGAGGCCAGAGAGGGTACTGGATCTTCTGGTATTGGAGTTATAGGCATGGGTGTTGGGAATCCAACCCTGGTCCTCTGGAAGAGCAACAATGACTTATCTGCTAAGCCATCTTTCAAGCCCCTAAATATGTTTTAGACAGATTTATGTATATGAGTGTTTGGTGGCATGTAAGTAAGCGTACCAGGTGCATGCAGTATCCTCGGAGGCCAGAAGAGGGTGTCAGATCCTCTGGACCTGCAGACTGCATCTTGTGGGTGCTGGAACCAAACCTAGGTCCTCTGCAAGAGCAGCCAGTGTTTGTAATACCTGAGCCATGTCTCCAGCCCTAATAAAGTAAAAGTATCATCTACCTCCCTCCTATTTTCTATAAGGGTCACTTGTCAAACATGAGATGCCTGTTTTCATAGTGATTTCCATTTCTACCATGTAAATATGTTATTTTTTGGTCTTGATGTTACTTTCACTTTTCTTTTTCCCAAGCTAATCATGATACACACTTTCTGCTCATGATTTGTCCCTGTAGATCTTCTTGTACATCATACAGCTTTTCCTTGTTTTCAGGGATTCCCATGGTATGGCTCCATCATAAATAGAGTTAATAATCCTTACCACTGGAAAGGCTCTTTGTTGCATTTTCCTGTTGTACAAACTGCTGAGGTGAAAATCTTTGTATCACTTGGTATGTTTGGGTCATTATTCCTGAGGATGGCTCTTTGGAAGGCAGCCAGGTCAGTGAGCATCTCTATTTTAATAGAAAAGCCAAACTGACCTTCACAAGAGTTTACTCCTCACAGCAGGAGGCTTGTGTGTTCCTTCTTTTGTCTCTGGTGAATGTTAGGGCATAGACATTGTTGTGAGACAAAAGTAATTTTTTGTGTTTTGAAGATTGTTCTTTTTCTTTTTTTCTATAGCTGATACTCCAATGTCCTTTTTTGATTTTGTGGTTGATCCACATTCTTTCCCCCGTACAGTGGAAAACATCTTTCATGTTTCCTTCATTATCCGGGTAAGGTTTTAGAGTTCTCTAACATCTTTTATATGTTTTAAAAATGATGCACAGCTGTTAAAGGTATTTGTCTATTATAGCAGAACATTAATTGGTATGTTAGGTAAAGTAATATTTATGGCCTGCCTTTAATTTTTAAAATTACAATGTGAGCATTACTAACCTGCCATGCTCCAAAACTTGAAACATGATAACATAATTGAAAAATTTCACAGTTACTGTAATGATTGGTCACAACTGAAAAGCAGGTCCATTAAAAATAAGGTAGAAAGTTACCTTCGGGTATATATGGAACATAAATGAATTTCATGTTTAGATTAGGTCCCATTTCCAAGGTACTGCATTGTATCTATGCAAATAGTCTCAAATTATCCCAAATTTGAACCACTTGTAGTTCCAAGTATAATGGTGAAGCTATATGAAACTATCTATTACAATATGGCACATTTCCTGAAGTTTTCATGCTATATAAGAATAAGTTTATTCTCAATACACAGACACTGAAGAAGCAGGAGCAGGGGACCATCCTGACTGTCACTCTCATTTCTCTCATGTAATAATAATTAGAAAGTGATCAAGTAAAATGTGGCAAAACACCTGGTGAATATTAAGAAAGGATCTTGAGAGGGCTCTATAGTAGTTTTGTAGCTCATTAAATGTGAAAAATTTCAAAACTAGTCAAAACCCTATCAGTGTACCATAGATACTTGAATTAAGACTTGAATCTTACATCATGTTGCATTCCTAACCATGTAAGATGAATTTGGCTTCTTAAATTTAGACAAAAATTTATCCAAGTACTTTCTCAAACAACAAAGGCATGTTTGTCAGTGGTCCCAATGGTAGAATTATGTAATAAAATGTGGAAGGTTTATGATAGAATATGCATAAATTGGTTAAAGAATAAGACGGTTGTTTGTAAGTTTCTCAGGATTGAGGGCTGATGAGTTGGCACAGTAGGTAAAAGCTCTTGGCAAATCTGAGCTGGGTTTGATCCCTAGGGCCCACATGGTGGAAGGAGACAACTTTCACAAGTTGTCCTCAGACTTCCATATGTGCACCATAGTGCCACTCCAAAAGATTAAATGTAGTAATAATAGTAACAGGAATAAAGTCAGTATGGAATCTGTGTCTAGTAAAAGTTGATTGGAAACCCAAACAATACTTTTGTGAAAGATGTGAGAAAAGTCTGGTCTGTAAGTTAGGGTATATTTTGGCTGAAGTACAGTTTTCTAACTTTTTTTCATGCAGCAGATTTTGGTGTCAGTTTCAAACCATGTTTTTGTTTTAGGATGGTTTTGCAAGAATAAGACTTGACCAAGACCGACTACCAATAATAGGTAAATCACACTGTGTTCATAGAAGTTAGTTTCAGAAAATATTAAAGAGTCTATGAAATGTATTTTTTTTTCTTTTTTAAAGTTAGAAACAAGTTTGCTTCACATGTCAATCCCAGCTCCCTCAAAATGTATTTTATTTGACTAAATGTAAGGGTTTTTTTTTTGTTGTTGTTGTTGTTTTGTATGAGATGGTCTTGCTCCATGGTCCAGGGTAGCCTGGAATTTGCCATGTAGTCCAGACTGGCTTTAAATTCTCAATCTTCCTGCCTCTGTCTTCTTAGTGCTGGAATACATGCTTTTGTTTTTTGTTTTTTTGAGACAGGCTCTCTCAATATAGCTCTATTTAAGAACTTGATTTGTAAACAAGGCTGACCTTGAACTCACCAGATCCTCCTGCCTCTGCCTCTCTTCAGGGATTAAAGGCTTGTCTCATTATTGTTATTATTTTAAACCATAGACGTTCTGTGGCTGGGACAGTCTCGCCACATATCCCTGGCTAGCTTGGAACTCACAATGTGTAACATGCTAGCTTTGAACTCAAGAAAGGACTTTGCTTGCACTTCCTTGTGACATGTACTCAGTTTCATATTGGGCTTACTAGGGTTTAGCTGAGTGGCTACTGCACAGATATGCACAGAATTCTAGGAAGTACATACAAGTTTCTTCTCAGGACAAACTAATATCAGTTGCTGTTCAAGTTACCTGTTCTGATTGATGATGTTTGAAATCTTTTTCAAACAGAGCCAGTGATTAATGAAGAAAGTGAGGGAATTGAACAAAACACACAAATTAGGAGTCAAGGAATTATAGCCCTGAGTTACCGTGACTGGGAGGTAAGGCCTTGCGGGCTGCCCAGTGCAGTTCTGACTGTGACTTCGTTTGCTATAAACCCACTGCCTGAATGTTTCTGTTTCCGATCAGGAGATTGTGAAGACCTTTGAGATTTCTGAGCCTGTCATCTCGCTGAGCCAGAGCCAGCAGCAACTAAGTGCCTGATGCCAGCTGAAGGTAACACTTCCTACATAATAGCCACACAGTTGTGTTAAATTTTTATTAGTCAACCCAAACTATAGTATTTCCTCATTCCTGTGAAATTTGGAGTTTGCCTCCCTCTAGTGTTTCATCCCCAGAACTGTGTACCTGATAAGGAAGGCAGGCCAGTTGGCTGTCCCTCAAGATTCCTGACTTTGGTGTTAAGATCTGTATACGAAAGAGTTATGCAGGAGGACTCTATTGGTTTATTTACACCTGACAATGGCTGAGTGCTATGGAATCCTCTCCAGTGTTGTTCACTGTTGTTCAATTTCTTTTTAATAGACACGAAGCAGAAAATGAAGATGAGGCTAGAGTTACCTTAGAGTGATGCTAGTAAATGGACATTTCTGAAATGAATTATGCTAGGAAAACTTCATTCTTTTACAAAGGGGAACATTTCTAGAAAGATATTGTAGTAACTGAAGACAGCAGTGGGTGGAAATGACCTTGAATCTTTTGGCCCTGCCCCTCAATTTTAAAAGCTTGTGGAGTCACTTCATTTTACACATTTATTTTCTTTAAGTGTCTATAAAGTAAATTTAGTTTTTTAAGCTTAATTTTTTTCTCCTTTTGAGAACTAAAATGAGCTTCTAAAGTACTTTATGTAAACTCAGTATATATTTCAATTAATGGAACCAAGATAGCTTACCTCCGTCAGACTATCCTGACAGAAAGGAACTATATGAGGAGTACAGTGACTTAACCTGGTCCTACTTGCTGATGAGGGACTAATCACTAGATTGCATGTATATGTCTAACATGTCTGCTATTAACCAGCTGTCTTCCTTTTATTTCTTTTAGAACTGAAGGCAATAGTGAAATCCTGAAAGGAAAGCAGCATATATTGTATATATGTATGATTAAATGTTTTTAAAGATGAAGATTGTTTAGTAAAATGTAGCTTTTGATAGTTAATGGACTTGTCATGGTTGTCTTTGATTAAAGGAAATTCACTGCCATATTCACAAATAATTGTCTTTATTGTCTCGGGGGGAGAGGGATATGGTCCTCCCTTTTCTAGTCCTGTTCAATAAGTTTTTTTTCTTTTTTCTTTTTATTACCACATGGAATTTATTAAAAGAAAGGGAAGAAGAGAAGGGGGAGGGGAGAGAAAAAAGCGGAGAAGAGGGTCAAAGAAGGGAGAGCGAGGAGAGAGGGAGGAAGCCCAATAAAAGTTTTAATTAGCTTGTCAATGCCTGATTTTTATAGTGTTTTTAAAATTTTTTTAAATGTCTCTTTAGTTATAAAATTAGCTGGCCAGGCCAACAGATAGGTTGTGCCAAATTAAAAAAATTTTTTTGTAGGTTAAAAATGGTCAAATATTTTTTGATGTGATTTAGCCTATGCTTTACACCTAAGAAGCTGTTATGTCTTCTGGCAAGTCAGGTTGGGCTATGCTCCTGGAGCACCAAGGAGAGGGTCATACTGCAGCATGTCCCTCCCTCCACCCTATTCATCCATGTTGGGCTTTCTAATTGGCCCTTGGTGTTTTCTAGGTGTCTTCTCCCGAACGTTCTATTCTTACCCTTTCCCTCTTATTGCATGTACTTTTCCAGCAAAAGGCTCTGGATTCAAGTTCTTCCTATGTCCCAGGAGACTGCTCTATCAATCATCTCTTCTATTTTGTCTGGTGTTTATCCTTCACCATGCTTCTCTTTAAAAAAATAATAAATAAAAAGGTCTTACCTCTTTAAGTAAGAATCACTTGGAGGGGGAGTAGCACATGCCTTTATTCCCAGCACCCAGGAGGCAGAGGCAGGTGGATCTCTGAGTTCCAGGGCAGCCAGGGCTGTTAAACCCTGCTTCTTGGAGGCTGTTCTGGAACTCACTTTGTAGACCAGGCTGGCCTCGAACTCACAGAGATCCACCTGCCTCTGCCTCCCGAGTGCTGGGATTAAAGGAGTGCGCCACCAACGCCCGGCTCTAAACCCTGTTTCAAAAGAACCAAACAAACAAATCCCTGGTGGCTGGTGAGATGGCTCAGGGAATGAACATTTCATAACCATGTCAAGGATGGAGAGAATCAAGTCTACAACTCTGACCTCCACATGTATACTTTGTAACATGTCCCCTTCCCATGATATGCACAGTCTTATGAAGAATTGAGTAAGAATCATTTGGAAATCTTTCAAAACCCTGGCAGAGTAGCTCCTTTCCCACCGGATCTTCTGAGTCTGCATTATGACACTTTTACCAGTTTCTTTCCAAATTAACTCCAATGGATCTTGCTGTGTATTTGATGTGAACCTTTACACCCTAATCTACATTCTTGGTGTTGTCTCTCCCTGGTTCCCTCCCACTTTTATTATTCCTTTGCTTCATACTATAGTGCATTTATGTTGGGAATAGTCTCATAACTTTGTGTTTAAACTTAAAGAGGCTGGATCTATGTTAAGTGATTATTGGAATTTAAAAACATAATTTCTCAAACTTTAAAATCTCTGTACTAATATTTTTACCATATTTCACAGGAAATTTCATTCTGTGAATTCTTCTTTCCCCCATCCTTAACCAGTCACTACTTCCCTTACAGTCTTTTTGTCCATCTTGCTCAGGCTACTGCCCAGACATGTATGTACTACCCATTATTTTGTCTGTCCAAACCACTCGTCAATTCCTTGTGATTATTGCTGCCTTCAAGATTTTATTTATTTTTGTGTATGTGTGTATATGATTCGCATGTGTACCCATGCATATTTGTGTTAGGGCACGTATGCCATAGTGCACATCTGGTTGTTAGAGGGTAGCCTTGGGTCCAGTCCTACCTCTCCTGCTACCTTGTTTCTGTTGCTGCATTGTATGGGTTTCTGGGAATTTTGTTTCTACCTTCTATCTTGCTATAAGAGTACTGGGATTACAGACATGTGCATCCACATCTGGCATTTACATGAGTTCTGGGGGTCTGAACTCAGGTTGTCAGGCTTATGAAACAAGCACTTTGACCTGCTGAGACATCTCCCCAGCCCTGCTTCAGGATTTTAAAAGTGTGCTTTCTAACGATGGCCCGTTGTCTACCTTTTCATGGTTACTTTGTCTTTTTTAAATACTTTCTGTCAAAACAACCCAACTCATTCAATCAGGGTATGATACAGCATTTTAATTTTGATGCTGCAATCATCACCCAAGATTACTACAGAACACCCCCTCCCCCAATACTATGCCATTAGGGGCCATTCTGTTCTCATTTAACTTTTACTCCTTAGCCCTAACCTTAACACCATGATTTTTCAAGTATACTTGTCTAGAGCTGCCATTATCCCTTTTCATGTCTATTTTCTATGATTTCAGTGTACTAGTTACTATAAAATATGCTAATCTAAGAAAGAAATACAATAATCAAGGAAATGACTGAAGCTTTTTTTTTTTTTCTAGTTGACTTTTCAAAAAAGGCGGCATACTCAGGAGCTCTCTTTGGAGTGGCTTTTGCACTTTATCCTGTTTTGACTTTTCTACCAGAATAGTCACCTCTATAAGTTTTTCCTGGGAAGGCTGGAAGATGGGATAAGCTGTGACCTTTTCATACTCTTTCTCTTCCTCCTTCACTTGGGATTTTAAGAGAGGACAACGAACATGGCTGGGGAAGGTGTGAGTCTTCCTTTGATCGTTTTTCTGCTCTGCAAGCTCTCTTCCTCGAACCATTCGGTCTGTATGTCGCTTCATCTGCTCCTTTGCCCATGCGACTTTGGGCTTTTTGGGTACGGTTTTATGTACATTTGTAGTTTTCTGGACACTTTTATTCTTTTCATCTTCTGGTACTAATGGTTTTGGGGAAAGCGTTTCACTTGGAATTCTTTGAGGGAGTAGTCTATATTTGTGATCTCTGAGGCCTCTAGCCCGTTCAGCTCTGTGGATGTGTTTTTCTATGTGATTCATTTCCCTCTCAGATACTAGATAGTTCCATTTTTTATCATTGTCTGGTATTTTGCTTTTTGATTTCTTCTCTTCCTCTGGGGCAATGGGCCATTCTGAATCTGGTATATAATTCCAGGCTTCTTTGATCATTTCTTGTTGTTGTTGATAGTAGAAGGAATCTGCTTTAGCAAACCGGAAGTCAAAAGACATGGTCTTAAGTTTACCAGCTGTTTCACTCTCCTGTTGGAACTCCTGGACTAACAGTTTTCTCACTCGTGAAGAATGGGTGCCACCTAAACTCTTGTCAGAGGGAGTAATCAGAACTTTTTAAGTTGGATGTCCTTTATTCTAGTTCCATAGTACAGCTCTCAATGGGCTATTATCCCTGTCTGACACTCCTATACCATACCCAGTTTGGATCTAACTTTCTCCCCCTTTAAGCCACCTACTCCCTTCCCCCAGACCATGTTCTATCCTAGGTAAGACTCTCACTTAAGACTTCCTTGAGAAAATGGAAGCACCCAGCAGATCCACCTTCCCACCATCAGAGCCACCACCCGTCTATCCCAGACTCTACCTTCCTGCTTTTCTATTGGAAACATTCTTGTCTATCAAAAGCTAACTGTCACTTGTGATTGCTGAGCTTCAAGGATTTCACCTCTGTATCATCAAAACTGCCTACTGGGTCACCTGAATTGGCATAAAGAACACCTCGGTACAAATGATCTTCAACCATAAGAGACTCTTAATACCCTTGAGTTTTAACCCTCTGCTGTCTCATTTGCTGAATATACCTGCTACCTTCCCCCTGACCTTATGGCTACCCTTATATCTGCCTTACTAGTCTATCCTTAAGATAGAGCATGATCACACTGAGCCTTTCCTATATGGACATTCATTCAACAGGGGTGAGTCAAGCACTGATTTAGAGTAGAAGTAGGGCTGAACAGAATTTATAAGCCACATTGGCAAGATACTTCCCTGCTCTCTCAACTTTAGACCTAGTTTTTAAAAAAAAATTTTTTTATCTATCTATCTATTTATCTATCTACCTATCTAATTTTAAGACAGGGCTTCTCTGTGTAGCCCTGGCTGTTCTTGAAATCACTCTGTAGACAAGGCTGGCCTCTACTCAAGTATCCAGGTGCCTCTGCCTCCCAAGTGCTGGGATTAAAGATGTGCACCACTGCCTGAGAGACTTGGTTTATTTGACATCTCTGCTTGCTGCTTTCTCCTTTAATTCTGCCTCTACCACAGGGTGTTAGCCCAATTGTTATGTGAGTCCGCAAGTTTGTCCTGTCTTCCCAAGCTCATCAAACTAATCACTGTAGCCAGAGTTACCTTTTTATTGCATAAATCTGAGCATGTCACTTTCCTACATAAACGCTGGGAAGGAGAATACTACATTTAGGATTGAACTTCAAATTCCAGTATAGTGTGCACAGCCTCTCATTAATCCTCAATCCATGTTTTCAGCTGATGCTGCAGCCACACTGAATCCTGTTCCCTAAGACAGTATTCTCTTTCCCATAGGAATACACTTCCTAAATACACACCAGTAACTCTATGATAAATATTTTTACAACTTTTAAAATCTTGGCTGGCACAACACTTCCCCAACCTTCCACAAACTCTTTCAGAGAAAACCCAATCCTTTAGTGACATCACAGTTTGTGGAAACTATTTCTTTAGTATTGTCTCTTACCAGAACAAGTCCTGCAAGAGTACTAGTAGTATTTGCTCTATTGAGTGCTGTCCAGCCAACACTGCTCAGAGAACCAAATGCAGAGCTAAGCATGAGTCAGGATGTTCTCTGCCAAAATGCTGCCCCCCCTTTTTTAACCTCCAATAAACTTTATGATCTTATTACAGAATCCAAAGGTCATGGCAAATGCATTTCCTCACCTTAATTTTCTTTTCTAGTGGGGAATAGGAACCTACTGCAATCCGAGGGTCTTGAGAACTCTTAGCCCAGGCCAATCTAGGAGAAAAGAGAAATTATACTGGGATTGGAGAAAGATGTCAGGAAACAAGCTCTGGAATGAACTGCAGAAGGGAGTTGATTTGGGACCTGCTTTTCATGGTAGCAGAAGGCCATTCTTTCTGCCAAAAGGTGGAACTCTGCGTATAATGAACTTCTGTCTTCACCAAAATGAAGGCATGTTTGTACTTTTGATTAAAGTCTACAGAAGGAGCCATATTTTTGGGAGGGGGGGTTGTAACTGTCAGAAACAACTTTAACGCTGGAAAGACTGAGTTATAGTTACTGTTTCAATTACCACAAACCACTATATATATATTGTAAGAAGAAAAATAAGTGTGATATGAAAAATTTCAAATAACTGTTAATTGAAGTTATATATAAATATATAATAGATTTCCCTCAATAGTCATCTAACTAAAATGTTTCATGATTATTATCACTTAAAATTGATTATTTATTTTGCTTGTGAATCTTGCCTTTAATGGCTGAGCCATCTCTCTAGATCCTCCTTCCTTCCTTCCTCCTTCCCTCCTTCCTTCTTTAGGTTTGTAGAGACACGGTTCCTTTAAGAGGCTGGTTCCTGGCTTGGTGTTAGCAGCAAACACTGGTGTACCGACATGGTTCTTTTAAGAGGCCTTGCTACCAAACACTTAAATGGGGTTTATGAGCAGTGGGCAGTATGTTACTTAGTGGCAGCTTGGACCCAACAACTTACGATAGCTGGGCAATAAACGTGTCTCCTGCCAGTACTAACACCATGAGGTTAAGCTCTCAGGGAACCAAGCGGGGTAGAAGCCAGGTGCCAACCACCATGTGTTACTACTATACACTAAGCTGAGCAGTGCCAGTGACTAGCATAGCAGTTTAACATTAATCTTTTTTTTTTTAAAGATCTATTTATTCTGTATACAGTGTTCTGCCTGCCTGTATGCCTACATGACAGAAGAGGGCACCAGATCTCATTATAGATGGTTGTGGGTCACCATGTGGTTGCTGGGAGTTGAACTCAGGACCCCTGGAAGAGCAGCCAGTGCTCTTAACCTCTGAGCCATCTCTCCAGCCCTTAACATTAATCTTATAAGACCAAACAACACAGATGCTCAGTAAAGATAGATCCAGATTGGGAAAAAAAAAACCCCAAAAACCTCTAAACAGGTTACAGTGTGTTTAAAAATGTACATAGGCTTGGGAGAGAAAAGAGAAATGGTACAGACAGTCATGAAAAAGATAGTTTAGCCGGGCGGTGGTGGCACACACCTTTAATGCCAGCACTTGGGAGGCAGAGCAGCAGAGCAGGCAGATTTCTGTGAGTTCGGAGACCAACCTGGTCTACAAGAGCTAGTTCCAGGATAGCCTCCAAAGCCACAGAAAAACTGTCTTGAAAAACAAAAAAAAAAAAAAGGGGGGGTGGTGGCAGAGAGAGGGCTCAGTGGTTAAAAGCACTGACTGTTCTTCCAAAGGTACTGAGTTCAATTCCCGGCAACCACATGGTGGCTCACAACCACCTTGAATGAGATCTGCTGCTCTCCGCTGGCATAATTGCATACACAATAAATAAATAAAATATTTAAAAAAGAAAAAAGAGATAGATTAAAAATAAAGTATTTAAGCCGGGCGTTGGTGGCTCACGCCTTTAATCCCAGCACTTTAATCCCAGGACAGCCTCCAAAGCCACAAGGAAACCCTGTCTCGAAAAACCAAAAAAAAAAAAAAAAAGTTTTAAAGAATGAATTAAATAATTTAAAGAAAAAAGCATACAAAGATAGAAAATGCACAGGGAGTCTGGATTCTGTATGTTCTTGTGTTGCCTTTCAATTTTCTGATTGCTAACGAAGGAACAACAGCTGCTAAGACAAAATGGATTATGAAAAACATATATATATATATTTTTTTTTTGGTTTTTCGAGACAGGGTTTCTCTGTATTGTTTTGGAGGAGGCTGTTCTGGAACTCGTTCTGTAGATCAGGCTGGCCTCGAACTCACAGAGATCCGCCTGCCTCTGCTTCCCGAGTGCTGGGATTAAAGGTGTGTGCCACCAACGCCCGGCTTCACCTATACCTATATTTTTTAAAAGGACTTGACTTCAAAATGGAAGTCAAATGTGTGTTGCATTGGGGAAGAGGTTATGCTTTTATTTCCACAGAAAATGAAAGGCTATGGATTTAAGGTCAGAGATGATCATATTTAATAAAAGAAGACCCCTTGAAAATCCTGACTACAGACATAAATAAATAGAACTATAAGACACATGCTCAAACAAAACAAAAAGTCATCTTTGGCTAACTTGTGTACAAAACATAAACTAAACTTGTATTAATACAGGCATGTATGCTACCTTTAAAGACTTATGTATTTTCAGAACAAGAAGATCAAACACCAATGAAAATGGATGACCCAGTGATCCAAGCATCACAAAGACCCTCTGTTACAATTTCCTCAGAATTCTGCATCCAAAACAGCTTCAAGACTGCTGGCTGAGATGGTCTAGCCTCACAGACTACTCCTGCCAAGACTTAATCATTATCCTGATTTTCTCAAGGTTCTCCCAAAAATGTCAGTGCCCCCAAACAAAGGAAGCAATCCAGAAAAACCAATACCCACAAGTTTGTTATCATTTAAGGGAGGTTGGTTACAAGTTGTTATTGGTCACAGTCAGGAAAAAAAACTAGGTAAAGAAGTTAAATTCAAAGATCTCTTCCTAAAGGAAAAAAGGGGGATAAGATATAAAAATGATAGGGAAAAAGGGTAGATTATTCAATCTACTTTAATCCAAAAAACAACTATTAATCTCAAAATATTTTATATTGTTATGGATTTTGGTTTATTGATATAAAAAAGTTAATTTTGTTATACTGTATGTATGTTTCTACTCTTGTTTGGGGCATTGTGTTTATGTAGCTAATTTAAAAACACATAATTAATACAGATTAATAGCTATTTATAATAGTCAAATTTATAGTCATGTTAGGTATGGTTTCAAGTCCATACACAGATATATTTAGATAGATGGTCATCAAATACTTCAAAGACCTACAGAATATGGCATTTAATATGTTTAATAACCTAAGGCTTTTCATGACAGAAATGTCTGTTCCTGACAGCACCAATCTACTTCAAAAAAGAAGATGATGGGCATTGAAGAACCTCTGTATGGAGTTTATTTTCTTTATGGCAAAAGCTAGCCATCTGGGCAAAGAAACTGCCTTTGCCTCAATTGCTGACAGTATTCTGTCCAAACTGAATCAGCAGGATGCAAAAAAGGTGACTGCTAAACTTTGCCAAGATAAGGTATGTCAGTCTTTCAAAATTCCCTGCTTCTCAGAATATACTAGGCCTACAGGCCAAAGTTGAATGGCCCCAGAATACAGGCAGCCAGCTGTCCCTGTCATTAGGTAATATTATACCCTTCTGGAGTCTTTTGAGAGAGTTAAAGACTAAATAATTAAATTTTCAGTTTTCCTTAGCTATGATAAAATTATGTATAAAATTATGTATAAAACATTAGACTCAGCCGGGCGTTGGTGGCGCACGCCTTTAATCCCAGCACTTGGGAGGCAGAGACAGGTGGATCTCTGTGAGTTCGAGACCAGCCTGGTCTACAGAGCAAGTTCCAGGACAGCCTCCAAAGCCACAGAGAAACCCTGTCTCGAAAAACCAAAAAAAAAAAAAAAAAAAATAGACTCACAAAGATAAGATAGATAAGAGTATTTTTTATAATTTCTTCAAATACAAATGAATTGGATATTGTGACTAATTCTTACTGTTTTTGCTAAATATAATTTTATTATTATTATTATTAATTATTATTTTTGGTTCTTCGAGACAGGGTTTCTCCTTATTGTTTTGGAGGCTCTCCTGGAACTCGCTTTGTAGACCAGGATGGCCTCCAACTCACAGAGATCTGCCTGCCTCTGCCTCCCGAGTGCTGGGATTAAAGGCGTGCGCCACCAACGCCCGGCTTAATTTTATTATGTTAAAGCTAAAACCTTCCTTTTTACTTACACAAAAAGGGAAAAATGCTGTAGAATAATCCTTCTGTACACTGTAAAAATGTGTTACTCTTGCTGGGTGTCGGTGGTGCATGCCTTTAATCCCAGTACCTGGGAGGCAGAGGCAGGCAGATCTCTGTAAATTCCAGACCAGACTGGTCTACAAGAGCTAGTTCCAGGACAGCCTTCAAAGTCACAGAGAAACTCTGTCTCGAAAAACCAACCAACTAAACAAACAAAAATGTTTTATTCTCATTGTTAATAAAAACTGATTATCTGATAGCTAAGCAGGAACAGAGAAAATGCTGGGGAAGAAAGGCGGAATCTGAAGAGTCCAGAGCCAGATGTGGAAGAAGCAACATGTGAAGTTCATAGATGAGATAAAGAGCCCTGGGACAGCACATGGATTAATAGAAATGGGTTAATTTAAGTTGTAAGAGCTGGCTGGAGACAAGTCTAAGCTATTGGCCAAATCAGCTTTTTATTAATAATGAGAGCAACACATTTTCACAGTGTACAAAAGGATTATTCCATACCATAGGTTCTCACTATGTAGTACTGTACTCATAGAGATCCACCTACATCTGCCTCCATTATGCCTGGCTCTAAAATTTACATTTTAAATAGATTATAAAACAACTGGAAGGCAAGTGTTAAAACTTAATGAAGAAAAATATGGCAGGGGAAAATTGTTCATCCTGGTTTATCAGCAGCAGAATGTTTTAAAAACAGAATTGTACAAAACCCTTGTTGTATCTGTCTTTAATTTTATTTCTGCTACTTCTCTAAGAGTTTATGTTTCCACAGCAACATTTCTTGAATTTACACTAGGTATTGTTATAGAAGCCTACATGGAATCACTTAATCTTCTAAACAATCTTATGAGGTTAGTAATTCATTATTCCCTATATTTGGCAAAGAGAATGGAAGCCAGAAACTTAATGGCTCCTTAGTGGTCCTAGTGTTAGTGTTTTAGGCCAGGAAGTCCCATGGGACTCCATCTGTTCCCATACATGCACATATATTCTTTTGCCTATACCCCAAATGGAGGAAACACTTACTGTTCCTCTGCACTCAGATCAAACCACTCTGAGTCTGTCACCATGGGTGGCTGTGAGGTGACAGCCCTCAGTGCTCTATTCTGCTTTGGTAGTCTTGCACTGCCCGTTCTCCTCGAAGCTGACTCTGTCAGCTGGTGCTCTTTCTCCACAGCATTCCTGGCTTCGGCTAATGCCCTGCTGTTTGCCAGCTTCATGAACAGCATCTTTGCTCTTCACTCTTCCCCTGAGGTCTAATTTTTCATTCTCTATTCCGCAAAGAACTGGTTTCTAACCACTGAATTTCTGCCCTCAATTCAGATTTTCAACTACCTACTGTTGATCTTTGGTTTGATTTCTAAGGCAACACAAAGCAGTCACTGCTTCTGTGTGTCATCACTACCCCAGAAGGAGCCTACTATGAGATGGTATATGACAATATAGTCTGTTGGCAGGAAATGGGCTTCCCTTTGTGTGAGCTGGTCAGCAACCAGAAGGAACCATTTCTTAAAACATAGGAATTCAACTACAGTATGTGTAGTCAAAAACAGTCTCTAATAACACTGAGGGCATCTTTTCAATTTTTGTGCATTAGAACATAAACTATACACACTCCATGTGAATGGAACCAGTAGAAACACTTGGTGGTCACACATATCTGGGCTGTAGAAGGCTAGATATATATGCTGATGGTCTAGTCACATGGTCTCATTTGTTAGCTGGTATATCACTCAGCTAAATACTGCTTTGATAGAGGTTTTAATATGTCTTTAGTCACAGTGTTTAATTTATGTTTATAAGTGACCACCATTTAAAGACAAGGAAGCAGAAAATATCTCAGTGTTAAAATACAAATTAATGAAAATTATACTCAATTCATGACATTTTATATGTGGAAGTTATTCACCCCAACAAAATTATCCTGTAGCCCATTGAGATATTTTAGCTCTTAGAAATTCCACACGAAAAGGAGGAATTGTAATCAATTACAACCTTGCTTCTTAGTAGAAATAAAATCTGTTCCTCTCAAAATGTGCTGTTTACAAAGAAGTACTTGGAACAGCAGGCTCCAAATAAAACATCCAGAAGCAAGGCTATAAAAGTACATATATGTGGGCTGGAGAGATGGCTCAGAGGTTAAGAGTATTGACTGTTCTTCCGGAGGTCCTAAGTTCAATTCCCGGCAACCACATGGTGGCTCATAACCACCTTGAATGAGATCTGGTGCCCTCTGCTGGCATGCAAGCAGAAGACTGTATACACAATAAATAAATAAAATATTTTTTAAAAAGTACATATATGTATTTCAAGTTAAAAAAAAAACATGCTGGGCAGTGGTGGCTCATGTCTTTAACCCCAGTACCCTGGAGGCAGAGGTAGGTGGAATGCTTGAGTTCAAGGTCAGCCTGGTTTACAGAGTGAGTTCCAGAATAGCCAGAGAAACACGACTGGAAACTGCCCTACCTCCAACAAAAAACCAAAATAACAATGCACTTCAAATATTGGGTCATAAAAATTGTTATTTAAATTTCAAGCTATATTTTTATATTCACTTGCTCTTTAAACCTATCATGATGTCACTTTTTTTTTTTTTTTTTGGTTTTTACGAGACAGGGTTTCTCTGTATTGTTTTGGAGGCTATCGGTCCAGCCTGGCCTCGAACTCACAGAGATCCGCCTGCCTCTGCCTCCCGAGTGCTGGGATTAAAGGCGTGCGCCGCCACCACCACCCGGCCATGATGTCACTTTTAAACTTTATAGAAAACCATTTCACTCAGATCAGTCATGTGCTACTAGCCAGAACTTTACATACCCAGAACCTGATCACACTGTATTATCACACCTGGAAACTTATTAGCCAGGTGCTGTATGAGCTGCTGAAAGGCATCATCTTGTGAAAACAGAAAAGCCTCTTTTGATGAGAGAAACGTGTAGTTATGAGTGTAAGCTTCCCTTTAAGGAAGCAATGTGTTTACAAGCCAGTTAGTCAATCAGGCTGAAACAAACTATGAGGAAGACTAGACTTTGCTGGCACACAGAGAACAGTGTCAAGTTGAATTTCCTTTATGGTAAGTAAAGAATCATGCTAAATTTTAATCCTTTATTAAAGTCACAAAATATCTTTAGTTATGAGAAGTCCTGGATCATGAAGATGATGGTTTCTGAAGGAAAGTTGAACTTACATGTCAATTGAACTTGAATTTCACCGTGTAAGAAGTGTAACTTTTGGCATTGGGATAACTATATTTGTTTGGGTCTATTCTTGGGCTGGTCTTTCATCAATATTTCACTGTCTTGAATAATGTAGGCGTGTGTGTGTGTGTCCATGTATGTACCTGTAGGAACATGCAGAGGACCAAAGAGGGCATATTCCTTTGAGGGAAGGTATCTCCAAGAACCTGGGGCTCTTGTCTCAGCTAAGCTGGAAGCCATCCAGCCACAGGATCCTCCTGTTTTTGTCCCCTTCAAGCATTTGTGAATTGGATGCCCAGATTGTTATGCAGGTGCTGGGATGTGAATTCCAGCCTTCACAATTGCAGAACAAGCATTCTTAACTGCTGGGTCATGTCTTCACCTTCTTCCCCAATTAATAAAGGTTTTATAGTTGAAGTCAGGTAATGTCAGTTCTCTAACTCTGTTCTTCAGTATTTTGGTCATTCTGGCTTATATGGCTTCTCATATAAACTTTTAAAACAGCTTGTTTATGCCCATAAAATATTAATAACTTAATGTAATTCTGACTGGGATTTTACCTAAAGATCAAGCTAAAAGGAACTGGTATCTCAATATTTCCATTTTTTTCAACATTTACTCAGATATCCTTTTTTTTTGCTTCAGATTTGTAGTTTTTAGAGTGTAAATCCCATCTATTTTTTGTAAGATCTGTACTTAAGTATTTGGGATTTTTTTGTGATGCTAATGTAAATAATGTAAATGGTATTGTTTTTAACTTCAAATTCTAATGTTCATTTTACACATATCAGAAAGAAAATGTATACAAATTAAATTGTATATTAATCTTGTATTCTATATCCTTGACATAATTGGTTATTAGTTTAGATTTCCCCCCCCCAGGCAATCATATCCTCTGTGTTAAAAAATAGTTGTTTCTTCCTTCCTAATCTATATGCCATTTATTTTGTCTTATTGGTTATTCTTTTTTTTTTTGGTTTTTCGAGACATGGTTTCTCTGTGGCTTTGGAGGCTGTCCTGGAACTCGCTTGGTAGTCCAGGCTGGTCTCGAACTCACAGAGATCTACCTGCCTCTGCCTCCCGAGTGCTGGGATTAAAGGCGTGCGCCACCAACGCCCGGCTCTTATTGGCTATTCTTAATATGATGTTGAACAGGAAGGGAATAGTGTGAGGGGGATATCTTGTTTTGTTCCTAATCTTTTGGAAAACTATGTAGTTTGTTACTATGGATTAAAAAAATAAACTTTTTTTATTTAATAGACAGGGTCTTACTATGTAGCCCTGGCTGTCCTGGAACTCTCTATGTAGTCCTGGAACTCAGAAATTCCTCTCGACTCCAGAACTAGTACTTATGATTTGTGTATGTGTGTGTGTGTGTGTGTGTGTGTGTATACATGTTCTTGTTCAAGTTCCTTGATCCTAGTTTGACAAAAACTTTAATCATGAATGAGCTCTTTTCTCTATTACCCATACTATCATATGATTTTTCTTTCTTTACATGGTGATATGAGTTATACTTATTGTTTTTCTAATGTTGATTCGGCTTTGTGTACCTGTAATAAACCTCACCTGGTGATTTTAAGCTTATTGGATTTGATTGCTAATATTGTGTTGATTTTTGCATGAATGTTCAGTAGAAATAATGGTCCATAGTTTTCCTAGTGTGAAGCTGGCCTTTTGAAATAGATTAGAACATATTTCATCTGCTTTTCTTTTCTGTAAGAACCTGCAGGGAAATGGTCTAAAATTTTCCTTAACTATTTGGTAGAACTCACTAGTGAAACATTTGGGCCTTGTGTTAGCTTTTCATAGTTGTGAGACACCTGAAATAAACATGATACAATGGGGACTGGGAGCATTTCATATTTAAACCATGATAGGCACAGAGTTCTCCCCTTCCCACAAGGTCACTGATTATTGACTTAATTTCTTTAATAACTATACACGTATTCCTATTTTGTCTTTTACGACTTTTGGTCAATTACTTCTGTCTTAGTTAGGTTTCTATTATTGAGATAAATACTATGACCAAAAGCAACTTGGAGAGGAAAAAAAGGTTATTTTATTATATGGTTCTCAGGTCAAACTTTATCACTGAAGGGAGTCAGGACAGGAACTTGAGGCAGGAATCTGGATGCAGAAACCTGGAGCCAGGACGGAGAAGTGCTGCTTACTGACTTGCTCAGCCTGCTTTCTTATTTGTTCTTTTAACTTACTGACCTTTATTTACTTTTTGGTTTCATTGAAACTTTAAGCCACTAAGTCAGTATCATAGACAAGGGTCAATAGCAATAGAAATTAGGGATAAAGAGGAATATTACAAATGATAAAATGACCAGTTCTTCAAGAAGGTATAACAGTCTTAAATGTGTGTGTGCACATAACAGTGGCAAAGTGTATGAGGTATACACTAAGAGAACTGCAAGGAGAAATATGTGAATCCACTCTTATTGTTTTAAAGCTAGCCTTTCCCTATTTAGTACTGGCTGGCTTTGAATTCTCAATATAGGTCAAGCAGGCTTTGAACTCACAAAGAAGTATCTGCCTTGGCCTCCTGAATACTGGGATTAAAGGCATGAGCCACCATACGAATATATAATTTTATCTTATCTTTCTTTTCCTGCATTTTTAAGTTTTAGTTAATTACTTAATGATTCCATAAACTACACTTATTTTTTTTAAATGGCTGCCCTTGAATTTGTAATATATGTTTACAATTAATACAAGTTCTCTTTCAAATACAATATACTACTTTATGGGTTATACAGTACCTTGTGATAGAGCACCTGCAGTTCCTATCTCTTATCCTTATAACCCAGTTGCCATTCATTACCAAAGCTGTAATTATCACATTACTTATCCATAAACTATAATTACTGAATGTAAGTTGCTATTATTTTAAATCAATCATTGTGTTTGAGCAATTAAGATTTAAAAACAAATTATTGTATATCCATTTTTTCTTTGTCTAGGGTTTTCCTTTCTTTAGAACATCTGTATTACCAGACTTGCATTGTTTTCTTTTTCCTGAAGAATTTACATTTTGTTCAAAGCAGACAGACTAGAAACACATTTCTTCATGGGAAAATCTGGATTTTTCTTTTAGTTTTGAAGGGTTTAAGTTCTCTGGATACAGAATTCTAGGTTTTGTTTTTCTTAGACTACTTACAATATTGCATTCTTGTTTCCACGGTTTCTGAAGAGCATTCAGCTATATAGAATATAGTTTTTTTCTCACTTCTTTCTGTATTATTTCATCATTTTATCTGATTTTCTGCAGTTTGAGTATGATAAACCTCTGGGTTGATTTGAAATTATT